GGTCATAAAGCTAAGCTTTCAAGGTATAAAATAAGATAAAGATGCTAATGCACTCCCAGCCAGTATAATTCAGTTTCTTAGTTGCCCAGGTAATAGTTCCGGTTCCAGTTCTGGTTGCTTCTGTCTCTTAGAAACGGCTGGTCACTGTGACGCATAGCTGGTCACTATGATGCACATTGTATAGACCAATCCCCAACTGACAAACCATTCTGCCTCTGTATTTCCTGCTTGCTTATCGCATATAAGCCCTAGACTGCCAGAGATCAGGGTCTGATATTCTGAGAATGATCCCGGTCAGTACCTGTTGAAGTAAATAAATCTGCCTCCTAATTCTGGGTGTCGTTTCAGTGTTTCTGTTTGCTGTTGCAATTTTACTGGGGACCCAGAGCAAAGTTTGTCTATACAGGCAGAGTCCTGGCAAGAACTGTCACTTCCCTAGTCTGTTAGGAGGGCTTGTAGGGCCCATGCCTGGGCTCTGCCCTATGGTTGTCCTCCTCCTCGTCAGTGACACAAAAAACAGGCAAAGGAAAACAATGACTCTGTGTGGAGAGAGAGCAAATAGGAACAAGAGCTCTCATAATAGAATCTGGCAGGATTGCCATCCCAAAGATCTAATCCACCCAAATGTTTTCTACATTCAACTTGAACTTAGAAAGGGAAAGAGAAGCCAGGAGCAGTAGTCTACCTGTAATCCCAACATTTGGTAGGCTGAGAAAGGAAGGTCATGAGTTTGAGTCCACTCTGGGCTACACAGTGAGATCCTATCTCAAAAAATTTAAAGCAAAAGAAAAAAAAAAAAAAAGGAAGGAGGGAAGGAAAGAAGAAAGGAAGGAAGGGAGGGAGGGAAAGAAAAGAGACAAGGAGATGTTCTTACCAATCTTTGAGTCTATCGAGCCAGAGGTCTGGCAGTGTGATGTGCTGAGACTCCCTATCTTCTGCTGGCTTTTGTCACAAATCAGGATCCCTCAACTACAGCGGCTCAGAAACAAGCACTGTCCCAGCCAGGGAATCCCCTCCTTGTTATCAGAAACTAGAGGAGGCAAAAATTTACCCCTGTATTCCTGTTTTTTTGTTTCATTTTTTGGCTGAGGCTGAGAACTAAGTTATCACAGGACAGGTCAACAGGAAAAAAGCATTCAGATTTGTTTAACAAAAGTTTGCATGGCACAGGAGCCTCCAGGGAGATGAAGACCTAGAGAGGCACCTAACGCTGGACACACATGTCCTGAGTTGGACAAAGAGTAGCAAATTGTAAAGATGAGATAAAGGCCAAGGAGCTTAGGCAAAGGCAGTTAACTGGGTGGAGATGGAACATGGGTGGACATAGCAACATGAGGTTAGTGTGTAACAAGGTTGGTTTGTACAGATTTCCCTTGACCTCAGTATCTTGTCCTTGATAACAAGAGTGATGCTTCTACTAGTGCAGGGACAGCATCTTTCATGTGGGAATTGCATTTCCAGCTTTTAAGACGAGGATGGCCAGAGTGTTCTTACGCACCTGCTGTATTCAAGCATCTTGAACTCAAAATAGTCATCATGTCAGAGTGGCATATTTGGGGTGGCATGTTCTCAGTTCCTTGAATATACACATACATGGATATTTAGAGATTTATTATATGGTATTGGCTTATGGCATTATAGAGCTTCTGTCTGTAAGCTGGAGACCCAGGAAAGCCAGGGGTGTAGTTAGAAACTCTAGAGCCAGATCCTAGTCTGGTTTGAAGACCACCTGAGCACCAAAAAGACTAAGGACAGGACAAGTCTGATGTGCTACTTTTTTCTTCTCAGTGGATTGGGTAACGTGTATCCACACCGGCGAGGCCATCTGTGTTATTCGGTTCAGATTCAAATGTGAGTCTTCTCCAAAGACATCCTCATAGGTGCACCCAGAAATCATGCATAACCAGCCTGTCTGGCATCCTGCAGCCCAGCCAAGCTGACACGTGAAATTAACCATCCCAACGGGACAACCACCCAGTCCGGGTGGCTGTCTGCCTCCTCCCCTCACCATGCAGTGGTGGGGCAAGGAGAGCAACCCAGCTTAGTAGGCGGTTTGGGGCTGTGTAGCATGGGAGACCCAGGCAAAAGAGAGAGACAGGTCAGTGCTGGAAGGCCCAGCAGGAGACGGCCTCCAGTGCTCCTGAGGATGCTGAAGGAACGGGGCCATAGGAGGTCCCTTTGGGGCATCCTGGAGGGCAAAGACATTTCTCGGGAGCCTTGCCCAGACTAAAGCCTGCTATCAGCCCCAGGAAGACCCCACATACAGAAGCCCATCAGGATATCAACTTCGCTAGGGCTGGGGATTTAGCTCAGTGGCACAGCGCCTGCCTGACAAGCGCAAGGTCGTGAGTTCAATTCCTGGTACTGGAAAAAAAAAATGGATATCAACTTCCCTCCCTCAGTGCCCAAGAGAACTCATTGTAACAGCTTGAAATCTTCCAGGAACTCTCACCGAGGGTGGAGGAGGAGGCATTTGTATCCTGGCTGTGATATTCTACTAGAGTCTGTAGGGGTGAGCCACGCTCCTGCCTCGGGTGCAGGTGGTGACAGCAGACCTGCCTGAGCTGGCCCTGATGTTATTGGATGGAAGGTCTTGCAGGGAGATGTTTACAGGCTGTTGGTATCCCAAAAGAAAAACTGGTCAAGACACTCGAAAGCAGTAACAGGAGTCAGATTTATTAAAAACAAAAGAAGCGAAGGCGCACTCTGCAGAGTGAGAGTGGGCCAGTGAGACGAGCTCACAGCCCTATAAGGCCAAGTACTGGGTCTCTTAAATGCTGGAATTATGGGAGGCTCTATAGCTGGGGATTGACAGGAGCCATGGCCTAACAGGGTACCTGACAGCCTACCCACGAGGAGGGGGAGTTTTTTACCATAAGAGGATGTTAGAGGAAGTGTAGCGGTGTCCAAAGCCTGCTGTGAGGTAGTCATAATCGTAATGCAAACAGGCCTGTGTCATATACCATTGCTTTTGTGCATGCCTGGAGATCTTGGAGGGCAGGGCAACCTTTATCTGTTGATTTTTCTGATCTTTTGACATAGTTTTCCTTTCTCTGGTTTCCAGATTCTTGCCTCAGCTTTCTGCTATTTATTTGTTCTTGCTTTATTTCTACTTCACTGAGGCCCTGGGAAATGTCACGATCCAGATCAGCATGCCTGCATCTGCCATACCTCGCCACACCTAATCTCAAGGGAAGTGCCAGTGCCAGGTCTCTGAGGACAAAAGCCCCAGAGCTCTGCACAGGACAGCGGGCTGGCTCCAGCAGAGGAGGCAGCCCTGAGGGACTCTGCAGAAGGAAGCTCTGCAAAGACTGAACTTCAAGTGGCCTCCCTTACTGTCCACCTTGCTGGGTAAGACAGAAAACCAAGGTCAGCTTCCACAGTCCTGGGCAGAGGACAGTGACCTTGGAAGGGGTGAGACTGTCAGATGGGTGTTAGGATAGTGAAAAGCTTTGAGGGAGGGCTTGAGGATGGTTCATGCACATAAACACATGGCCATCCTCTGGGAATTCTGACCCAAGGGCCCTGCTTCACAAAAGGGCTCCTAACAATCAGTCAATAGCAGGCTGTCTCTGAGTCACCCTTCCCATGCCCACCCAGCCTGGTCAGTAGGTTTCCAGGTATCCTCTGCAGCTTAATACTTGGTGACTTCAAACACCATTCGTCTGTGCACATCTGTGGATCAGGAATCCAGGCAGGGTGTCGTGCCTGAGATTCCAGCCCCGTCCTGTGAGCCATACCTTCCAATCATGTGTAGTCAGGGTCCTACCTGGATTTTCTGGTGACAAGTGAAACTGACTCAGTGACCCAGCAAACCTGCCTTGAAGCTGGGGTGGTGATGCAATCCCGTAATTCCAGCACAGCTGGAGGCTGAGGCAGGCAGGAGGATCACGCGTTCAATCCTAACCTGGGCAATTTAGTGACTTAGTTAGACCTTATCTCAAATTAAAAACTAAAAAAGGCTGGGATATAGCTCAGTGCAGAAGTCCTGGTTTCAATCCCCAGTACCAAGCAAACAACAACCAAAGAGCCAACTAAACAAGCAAAACACAACCAGACATATAAACCTGCTTGAAGTTTATAAGCCTCTCTTCCATGCAGAACTTCCCATCATTTCCCAGGCAGGCTATGCACATGCAAAACTTTAAGTGAACTTTAATCATTATCTTCAGGGAGATTTTAAAAAGATATTACATCCAGAATATAAAAGAGGGAGGCTATTTAAAAGAACATCCAGAGAAAAAGGAGTTCTTGGAAAGTAAAATATGATACCAGGCATGAAAAACCTCAGGAGATAAAGTTGAAAAAAATATTATATATAAATAGAACAAAAGATAAAAGCCTGGAAAGATAAAAAAAAAGAAATATGTTGGAGGAGGCCCAGAAAGAGGGAAGAAAGAAAGCAGAAAATCAAACAGTAGGGAGGAAATGGGGCGAATAATGCAGTACAGTTTCCCAGTGCTGAAAAATACGAGCTTTCAGAATGGAAGGTCCAAGACAGTGACTGACAAGGGGACACAAGAGTGATGTGACAGCAAATCATGAAATTTCAGAGCTCGGAGGAATTAAATGAAGACTCTGCAACCTTCCAGACAGAAAAACCAACAGATCACAAGGGATAAGGAATTTGGAATTGTGTCAGATTTCTTTGGGGTGATTTAAAAACATGTCCACAAACACTTTGGCCCTCTGATTGTTCTGTGACTTCCGTGGAAGGGGTGGGCTTTTGTGGCTGCCCAGTGCAGCAGAAATGATGCTGTGAGGCCTCCCAGGCTGAGTTAGAAAAGATCACGCTGGTTGGCAGTTTCTCTGTGACACTCATTACTGTGCAAAATTACTACCTGCAACCCTGATGATGCCACAGGGACAGGGAAGGTACAGAGAGAGAGAGATACGAAGCTGGGGGCAGCCAGGTAAGGACGAAGCCCTCAAGGTGACCCCACTGCAGCTGTCATCTGATTGTCTATATGAGAACTGCCTAGTTGAGCTGAGATTCATACCTTTCAGGTGTTGGACTTGGGGGTGGGTTCAGTAATGAAGAGGGAGCAAGAAGAGAGAGGTGAAGACATCCTTGCTCCCAGCTGCCCAGGTCTGGAAGTGACATATTTAATTCTGTCCCATTTGGAGGCAAGGAGGCTGGGAAACTGTGTAGCTCTGGGCCTAGGAAGAAGAAATGAGTTTGTGAGAGCCAGCCAGTCTCTCCACGCATATACAAGGACTTGGGATGCCATAGCACCAGCATCAACAAAATAGTCATATGTCACTGAACGTGGAGACACAGTCTGAGAAATGCAGTCCCAGGTGAATTTTATCCTTGCAAACATCATGCAATGTAGAGCTGGGAGTGGTAGCTATAATCCCAGCATTTGGGAGGCTGAGGCAGGAGGTACATAGCAAGTTCAAGGCCAGTCTGGGCTACATAGTGAGTTTAAGACCAGCCTGAACTACATAGTGAGATCCTGTCTCAAACAAACAAAGAAAAAAAAAAAAAGCAAACAAAAACATCATACAATGGCTTCACACAAACTAGCATGGCTATGACAACACTAAGTGATATAATCATACAGGATCATCATCATAGGTGCTTTTCGTTGTTGATTAAAATGGCATTGTGCAGCTCGTGACTGTAAGTTGGAAAAGGAAAGTTATTTAATAGACAGTATTCATAAAGCTAATTTACTGCATTGCTTTGAAGAAGTTACTGGATCTTTACCTTACACAATATACAATAAAGTCCAAATAGATCAGTGGTTTTCATTCGGGAGCAATTTTGTCCCCCAGAGTATATTTGGCAATGTGTAAAGATATTTTTGTTGCCACAGCTTCTGGGCTCTTCTGGCACCTAAGGATGCTGTTCAGGATTTTGCAATGCACAACAAAGAACCATCTGGCTTTAAAGGTCCACAATGTCAAGGGTGAGAAGGCTTGGATGAGTTCACCTACTTGGGAAAGAAAAAAATAACATACTAATAGAGAACAGTAAATAAAGAAAATATCTGTGGGACCTCACACTGGGGATGAATTTTTGTTTTTTGCAGTATTCAAGGCCCTTGCACTGAGCTACATTCCCAGCCCATTTTTCTTATTTTGAGACAGAATCTCAATAAGTCACTAAATTGCCTGGGCTTGAACTTGTGATCCTCTTGCCTCAGCCTCCCAGAATGCTGCACTTATAGGCCTGTACCACCAAGCCCAGCTGAGGATGAATTTCTGAAGCCCTTCCCCCAAAATAAACTTGATTCGACCACGTTAAGATTTCTCCTGTACAGGGATCATTGTTGTTTATCAGATTATCAGAGAGACAATCAACTCAAAAGAAATATTTGCAATATCTGATGGAAGAGGAAGGACTTGGGTGGTGGAGTGGGTGACCCCACCCATCTGTCAGAACTGTCCCCACCCCCGCAAGCCACAGAGACCACGAAAACCCAAACCACACTTTCTACCTTCAGGAATGTAGGAGACATGTGGGGCAATTACAGTTTTGAGGCTTTATCACCAAATTACAGATTTGGACCAAAAGCTAATGAGCAGAGAAGGATGCTGGCAGCTCTCAACACAGGGTTCGAACTCTGCAGCAGACGGAGCCCAGTGGTACACACCTGGAATCCTGGCTGCGTGGGAAGCTGAGGCTGTAGGATTGCGAGTTACAGTTCATCCTGGGCAACTCTATGAGACCCTGTCTTTTTTTAAAAAAAAAAAAGATAGAAAATAAAATTTTTTTTAAAGGATGTGGCTCAGTGCTAGAGCACTTGCCTAGCATGTGCGAGGCTGTGGCTTCATCCCCAAAGCCGCACATAAAAACAAAAGCACAACTGCAACAGAAAAACAGAGAAGGCACCGTCCTTTCAGTTGTTCTAGGGAGATTCTCTATAATAACCACGGACCATGCCTCAAAGAGAGTTTTACAATACAAAAGAGAAACAATACAAACAACAATTGCACATTATAAAGCAATAAAACTCAAAGTAACAAAACCAGGAAATAAACCCCCCCCCCCCGAGCACCTGTACATTTATAAAACAACTCTTGAAAGAACTCCCATCAAAGAAGAAATCAAAGGGAAAATTGCAGAACAGCCAGCAAGTTATGAAAAAGAGGCACCATCTATTGGAACCAGTGGCCTACTTGTCTCATGGATTTACAATGGTGCTGCAAAGGCATGGTCGAAGGAAGAAGCCAGAACTGCTGGCTGGGGGCCTCTTGACCCAGCGCAGCAACAAAGGGGCCTCTATGTGTCCTTGGTGGCTTTGAGTTTTGCATCATGGGAAGAAATTATCTTTGCAAAGTGCAAAGTGATCAGAAGAGGAAGAAAATGTAACAGAAGATGAACAGGTCAAATGTAGCAGAAAACTCAGGGGATTCTTTCTTTTCTTTTTGTAGATTTATAAGACAGGGCCTGGCATCTCTTAAAACTGGACCTGTGAGGAAAGGGGAAGTTTCATATTTCTAACAGCTTGGAATTTGTCAGAGGGTGCATAAGCTCCTCTTGGTGTGTGTCATCCCACATAGTCATCAAGGGCCATGCTGGGCAAAAACAGACTCGAGCTTTTGTGCTGAAAGACAAAGAGGATGTAGGCAGGATGCCAGACACAAACAGGGGGCTGGGCTGTGCAGATACCCAGACCTGACCAGCTGGCGTCGGAATAGGGTCTGCTGCAGGGAGGTACAGAACAGGTGGCCAAGGTGCAGGGACCTTGGACCTGTGCCCAACTGAGACCTCAGCCAAAGAGGGACGCTGAGGTGCTGGCAGGAGTTGTCTTCACACCGGAGAGCTGAGAGCCTGCAGCAGGCAGGGGACCTTGGCGAGCTGCATCATTCCTGTGCTGTGTGCCTCGTCCCACAGGTGACCTTGTCCCACGTGTGCTCCCCCCACCAGCCATGAACAAAACAATTGACTTTAACTTATTTATTTTTTTTAATTTTGAGAGTCACGTTAAATTACCAAATTGCCCAGACTGGGCTTGAACTTTTAATGTTTCTGCCTCAGCCTCCCACTGTCCTGGGATTACAGACGTGCACCACCGTGCCTCGAGGCTTCACCTTCTTAAGTTCACATTAGAGAGATTTCCAGTTCTGGACAACAGTACAATGAACTCCACTCCACCCTTCTCAAGCACATCCAGATCAGAGAAGAAAAACACTTGAATGATGAAATCTTGGCCTCAAAGAGATAAAAAAAAGGAGCTCCATGGGAAATAAAACTCTCTCCAAAGCAGGGAAATGGGAGGAAGACAGTTGGGTGGGGTGGGGGGGTGATGCCTGGGTGTTGGCCAGGAAGCAAGCGGCAGGCTGAGCTAAACCTATGGGGCTGGGGCCAGGCCCTGGGTCTGTGTAGCTGAGGCCAGGTTTCTACCCTCAGAGTGAAGCTGGATCCAAAATGCCCTGCTGGCCATCAAAAGAAACCAGAAGTGTAGAATCTGGAAGCAAGAGGGACAAGTGAAGAAAGAAGCTTGTGCAGAGGGATGCTGATTGGATTACAATAAGACAAAATGAAATATACTTGTACACAGTCAGCCTCTATACCCATGAGCTCTAAACCCTGGGATTCAACCAATGGTGGATTGAAAATATTTGTGGGGGAGAAAAACTGCCTCATAGCACTTGCCCGGCAAGCGCGAGGTCCTAAGTTTGAGTCCCAGTACCAAAAACAAAAACAAAAAACTGCCTCTGTGCCGAACAACTATAAGAATTTTATGGAGAACATTTTCTTGTCATTATTTTCTAAACAATACAGTAAAACTGATGTATATAGCATTTACACTGTATTAGGAATAGGTATTGTAAGTCATCCAGAGATAATTTAGAATATCAGGAGGACATGGGTTGTTCATACACAACACTACACTGATGGAGACCACTATAAAGCAGCTCTGAGCAGACTGAAATTAACCAATTGGCTTTCCATGTTTACTTGTGAAACCGTCCAAGGCCTAGGCTCCTTGTCTGGAGATGGGTAGTGGGCTCATAGTATGTGAACCTCTGTGAATCACTGGTCCCTGCTGAGGCCTGTAATGGCAGATGAAGCCAGAAAGCCTCAAAGGATAAGACAAGGTCACAGCCAAGGACACCTGGATCCAACCTCAACTAGATAAAGACTGTAGCCTCAGGCATCTCACTCCTGAGTGGATTAATTTAATACCTTACTTGGAGAAGTCCTTGAGTGGTTCCTGCCCTTCCTGAGTATTCCCTTCCTTTCTTCTGATAACTAAATAAATACAGGCTACCCAGAGAAGGTCTTTGTCTTAGCCCTGAGAGAATCTCACATTTTGTGAGAGGGTTCTGATCCTCTGGAGCCCTGAAATTATTCCATTTGCCTCTTTTATTTAGCCTTTGCTGTACACTCCTTTGGGACATTATGGGCCCAATCAGTTTGCAATAACTAAGGGATAAAATTAACCCAATACTACACCATTTAATATGAGGGACCTGAGCATGCGTGGATATTGAAGTCCTGACGGGGGAGGGTTCCTAGGACCAATCCAAGGGGATCTCAAGAGACAGTTGTTCTTCGGTTTTGTTATTGTCTTGCACTCAGCAGGAGGACAGAGGTAGTAATTAGCTTTTGCCCAGAAATTTAGGTCTGACCTAAAAATTTAAGGGTAACCACTAAATATAGAAATAAATAGTAAAGAAGAGATTGGCACAAAGAAAACTCAATTCAACAGAAGACAAGAAAATAGAAGAAAAATGAAATAAAGGAAAAGAATGCTAATAGAAAACACAATGTAATACAGCAGATATAAGTCCCAGTGGCAGTAAGAATAAATGTAAGCAGTTCAGACTCTTTTTATAAGACAGACACTGATGAGGTTACAATAAAACAAAATACAATTTAATTAGATGTTGCTTTTAAGAGACACTTATAAAGCAAGAGAAAGACTGAGAATAAAGAGATGGGAAAAAAATTCCCAAATCCTAATTATAAGAAAGCATGTACAACAATATTAATATTAAAGCAAAAATCACTAAATGAAGCAGAGAAATATTTTATACTAGAAAAAGGAATAATCCAACAAAAAGAGTTCCTTAATACTTTCTAATCAAAGGACTGGGAAGATGCTCAGTGGCACAGCGCCTGCCTGGCAAGTGCAAGGTCTTGAGTCCCATTCCCAGTACCAAAACAAAACAAAACTTCCTAATCAAAACTGGCACAAAGGAATGGACAAAATGTAAGATCCAGATGAGGCTCTCTTGAGTTTTGTTTTTTAGGTTGGGAGGGACCACTGCATTGTTATAATGCCATTATTGAGGTACACACCATCTTCCTACCTTTCACCCCACAAGTT